ATTTTATATTTAAATATATATCAGATACCAGAAACATCAGCCAAAGATTAAATTAAAAATGAATTAAAAAAACATCTTTAACAAAGAACATTCTTTGGTCTTTAATCTAGCTTTTTCACACACACACACACACACACACACATATATCTATAAAGTATAGGTGAAAATGCTTGGACATACAGAACAAGCGGATAATTTCTGCATAATTTATGTCCAGAAAATAAAAAAAATATAAGAACACAAGAAAAATTAAAGAAAAACCTTAACCACAGTACCTTGTCAATTGTTTTTAAATGAAACTTGTATAAAAGAGGGATTGTTGCCCAAATACTCAATTTTATATATTTCTTATATATATATATATATATATATAGCATCAAGAACACTGAAGAAGGCCAACATCATGGAAAATGGTTTGGAAAAGCTTACTCTAGAGCAGTATTTCTCAACCGTTTTAAGCAACGTAACACCTCAGACCAAATGAGAATATCACAGCACACTTAGCAAAAGTTTTAAAGGGTATACATTTAAATTTTATCAAATAAAACCAGGTATTTAAAAAAAAATATACACACAAATATGAACTTTATTTCAATGTTTTTATTCAACCATTTGTGCAGCTTATTTAGTGTAGAACCTATGCCTTTTTTTTCTTTTCTCTCAATTTCTTCAATATTTCATGGTACACTTAAGCAGGTCACATGGCCCCCTAGTGAGAACCATTTCTCTAGATTATGCGTCCTAGAGAAAAGCAGATTTTATTTCACAGCATGTTTCTTTGAACAGAATCGTGTTGTGCATATAAAACTCAGCAGTAATATTCATAACAGCCTTGATGCTAATTTCCCTGACAATGTTGCCACAAAATTTAATCTAATGCATAATTAGTGTGGTCATGTCTGTCTAAGTAGTACATGCCTCAAAAATCATTAAAGATACCATATACACAGAGAAGTCATTCATTATAAGTCATGCGGCATTTATGTAATAGCTACTGCAAAAGAAACCCAACATTGACACATCTGCACATAGGATATAAGACCGTAGCAGGACTAAACAGCCACACTCGCACTGCTAATATTTGAGGATGGATCAAATGATGACTTTACTTGAAATTGAGTTGCAGTCATCATTTATATATATTTTATAGAGAAATTATTAAATGCTTAAACTCTCGAAGGACGTTATTGTCACCTTTGTCGATTGTATTATGATCACACGTTATGCTTAATGTATAAAAAAAAATAAACAAAATTTGTAGAGGTCAATCAGATCACCTGCTCTAAAAACAAAGTTTATAATGCTTGTCTCGCAAGCCATGAAATTCAATCTTTAATTGTTCATTTGCTGTTACCTTGTGGCAAACTTGGCTTTGTCCAAAAAATACCATATATAATTTTTTTTTTTAGTAAACCATTTGTAATCTGCTTATCAGAGGCCATTCAATCCAAGCTTTTTGTGTTGCTCTTTTAATGTGACCGTGTGCCAAACTTGGCATTGTCTGAGAATTGTCAACTTTGTTTAACCCATGATTTGTTAGATTGCTCATCTCACTAACCATTCAATCCATTTTCTTCTGTTGTTCCTTTAATGTGGCTTTGTGGCAAACTTGCCTTTGAGAAATACCAATTCTGCTTGATTAAGCCATGATTTGATTATATTGCTTGTCTTTCGAGCTATTCAATACATTCTTCTTTAATTGCTTTTTTAATGTGGCCTTGTGCCAAACTTGGTTTTGTTTGAAAAATACCAATTTTGCTTAATTAAACTATGATTGGCTAGACATTTAGAGTATGGCAATCCTTTCTTTAAGGTATCAATTCTGTTGTAATCTAAAACGTTGAACAATGTATTCATGCCATACATTGACAAAGAAAATGAGTAACTTGGTCCTGTCTGAAGAATGAATTTTCAAGACATATTTTAAAGACAGAAATCCATAGGTACATTAGAATAGAGAAGGAAACCTTCCAGCAACTAAAAAAATATATTATGAGGTAGAAAAATTTTGTTAAAAACAAAGAGTAGATACGCTATGAACTCTCACCTCATCGATTGCAGTTCATGATCCTTTCCATAATTGTATATTTGTGTTGTCAGGTTTTATACAGTTTTGAATTCAAAGTTGTCCTCCTAGACTGGGCATCAAACACTATTTAACCCATAGCTGAGAGAAGAGATGAATTCATGTGTTTCCCAATGATATTTGTGGAAAGTAAAAAAAAAAATGTACTCAACTGGGATTTGAACTGGGTTCACTAACTTCTTATTCTAAGTTTCATCACCAAAAATTCCCCCCCCCCATCATGTACACCAAAAATTTCAACTATCTCTTTCGAAGTATAAGTGTCCTGTTTGTTTCCATTAAAAATGAATGAATCCTCCAGGTCTTAAAGATGGCAAACCCTTGTCAGATTTTACAAACTGAATCACAAACACTTTCTTTTCTTTCTATGTGCTGTATCCTTTCAGGACAGAGGCAATCACGGCTCTTAGCCCCCCCCCTCTATCAACCTGCAGCTCTCAACAAGTTCCTTCCCTCTGCAACCTCCACTAGACCACATTCTATCATCCACTTGCTTAAGGCCACCAGGTATGTCATGCATTGTTTTCCATTGTCTCTGTTTAACCCTATCTGACCTGTGAATATCAGATTCTCCAAGCCCTCCTTCCCCATTATATGCCCCAGGAACATCAGCTGCCTCTAGTTGACCAAATAACAAAAACCATACCACTTGAAGATTTCCAACAACAGCAGTAGCAACTAAAAATGGATGTTGTTTTAGTTTGTGATACAGCATTGGGGTCCCATTGGGGGAACTGCCAATAGACTACTAGAACTTAGAGACATGTAATGCAACAGATGTATCAAGTAGTTGTTAAACAAATAAGAAAATGTAGGAGTGTAGAAATAAGAAAGATACTAGCAGCTATTTTAGTCAGAGCAGAGAAAGTATTTAATATTCAAAACACAATATTTAAATAAGTCACGACTTCAAATCTGACCAAACCACTTCTTTCTTTCTTTTTCTAATGATATCCAATTACATCATTTGAATGCCTATTTCTTGTTAATACAATTTCATTGTATTAATAAGTCATAAATAACTTAGAAGGTCAAATACCTAAATAGTCATGATGTGCTTTTCCATAAAATACAATAAAAATAACATTGAGTTTGTCATTTGTGTTTCAAGTTAGAAGGTAATCGTCCAGAAACTGTAAATTTTAACGTCTTTTTATCACTTTGATCATAAGAAAGAATCAAACTGAAAATCAAGAATCCATTGGAAACCTGACACAAAACTTGATGTTTGTATTGTAATAAAATGTATGACAATTTATTTTAATAAATCATTTTACTATTATCATTTTATTACTAGTTTTATTACGTTACACTTGTTGCTTTTTATCCAAACACTTTAGGTTAATACATTCTTTATTATTACTGTCATCTTATTGCTAGTTTTATTCCATCTTATTATTGCTGCTTTTTATTCCAATATTCTGGGTCAGTAACACCCTTCATTATTACTATTATTTTATTGCTAGTTTTATTCCATATTATTATTGCTGCCTTTTATCCCAACACTTTTCATTATTACTATTATTACTTGTTTTATACCAGCTTTTTTTCTTTCTGTGGTCTGTGTCATTACAACCTTCAGTTGATAGTGTAACTAGTGTGAAATAAAAAAAAAAAATAACTAGACCTGAAATTGCATCAGACACTTTAGGAAGTGAAACTTGAATTTCATGGAAGTTATCTCAATCATTTTAGTCAAAGAAGTTTCAGTAAGCAAGACACAAAAAACATTCTCTTATTCTTACATTTTCTTTGTCTAACCTTCTTTAAGTTTTTGAACCTTTTGGAACCAATGACCAAACAAGGAATATTGCATAAAAGCAAATGAGTCTTACAATGACAGGCTGAGAAAATAAGCCAAATATTGTCTATGATTATTTACTGTGTCACATTTGTAACATGATGAAAATCTTTATCATGCAACAAAATAACAAGTCAATTACCTTGTCCAGAAAAAAGTTTTTTGCGTTCTAGTTCATCATTCAAACAAGCAAATTGCTTGCTTTAATATCTTGTTTGTTGAGGATCCATCAGTTCAAAATCCCACAAAAATATTAAGAGCATTTTTCTTTCAGTAGATTTCATTTGAGATGAAGCCACAATTCACTTTCTGTCCAGCAACTATTTTATCTAAAAATTCCTTTTTTTTTTTTTTTAAACTGTTTTGATCAAAAAGAAAAACCATTGTTTAAATACTGAATAATGTTCATTTGGCATGTCTGGGTAAACACGCCCGCAATAAGACAGTGAAAAGGGTGATTTTTCCCATGATACCACTTTTTTAAATTCCTTCCTTTTTTGGTAATATTTAAAAAAATTATTAGAACTGTAATAAAACCTAAAAAAAAATTTTTTTTTCAAGAAGATATAGGGATATTTTTAGTACTGAAAAAAAATTAATGATGTTTCCCTAAGGAAGTGAGAATGAATTGTAACTTTAATATTATTTCAATAAGGATTTAGTTTTTCTCTTGTAATGTTTTCTTTATAACCATGTCATCTCATCTGCAATGCTTTTTCTGTCTCTTTAAATGTCTTTGAAAATTTAACATTATTATTGTTTTGCCTTTGCTTTGTGTCATATGAATTTTCCCCAAATCTTAACCAAAGTCTTCAAGAGTCGTAAAGATTTTTTGTATCAGAAGATGCAAACAGATGAGGTGTCATGCAATTTGGGAGAAAAGATATATGTGATTGTGGTCACCCTATGGCGAGAAAAATACAGAAGATGTAAGAAGTACACATTTTTTTTTTTTTTTTGCAGTTCTCATATTTTATTAATAATATTTATTGCTATTAATTCCTGAATTTGCATATTTCTACCAAATGGTTGGTGATTATTGTTGGGGAGTAAAGTGACAGCAAGTCATTTCTAGTTTCTGGCACCTTCAATACCATCTCAGATCCTCCACCAATGCTTTTCTTTTTCTTTTTTTCTTTCTTTTTTCTTTTTCTTTTTTCTTTTTCTTTCTTCTTTTTCCTTCTTTCTTCTTTTTCCTTCTTTCTTCTTTTTCCTTCTTTCTTCTTTTTCCTTCTTTCTTCTTTTTCCTTCTTCCTTCTTTTTCCTTCTTTCTTCTTTTTTCTTCTTTTTCTTCTTTTTCTTTCTTTCTTTCTTTCCTTTCTTTCTTTCTTTCTTTCCTTTTCTTTTTCTTTCCTTTTCTTTTTCTTTCTTTCCTTTTCTTTTCTTTTTTTTTTTCTTTCTCTTTTTTTTTTTTTTTTTCTTTTTTTCTTTTCTTTTTTTCTTTTTTTTTTTTTTTTTTTTTTCTTTTTTTTTCTTTTTTTTTCTTTTTTCTTTCTTTTTCCTTTTTTTTTTCTTTTCTTTTTTTTCTTTCATTCTTTCTTTGCAGTAAAGTTCACCCTGGACAAGGCCCGGGGGCCACTTGAGGTAGAGGGTTACATAAAGGGGTAGTTAATATGGAAAGGAGGTGAAGATAACGGTTAACTCTAGACTTGAAAAGGTTAAAATTGTAGTGATTGGAGAAACATGCTCTTGGAAGTTGGTTCCACAGAGCAGTGGTTTGTGTGAAGAAGCTGTTTAAGTGGAGCTTACTTTTCACAATCTGTCCTATCTTGAATTTCCAATTCAGCCATTCTTTGTTTTAGTATCTTCTAGTAAAGTTCCAAATGCACTAAAAATTCTTGGTACTATCAAGAAATGTTTTTAGTGGAAAAATATAGTGTACGGCAAACATTCGTATTACAGGCACACCCACAACCCACATATTTTAAAGAATTTTAACATTTTGTATTATTTGTTTTATTTTCTGTATAGTGATCTAAATATTTTTAGCTGTGAATAAGAAAGTAGATAGGGTATGTGTTGTTGTTGCAGGTGGCTGACAGAAAAATTCATTAAATTACTTTCCCACCCAGAATGCCATTTTTTTTATGACTTTGCAAATTATATTGTGTCATTAATCAGACAAGTTTCAGAAATTGACATTCTATATACAAACCTGAGTTACTTGTTTGCTTCACCTGGACTCTCTCCTTTAAAACTTCCACATCAAAGACTTTTCTTTACCTCTGTGTGCTTTATAAGATTCAGGAAATCTTTTTAAAAAAATTGACAGTTAATTCATAATTAATTTTTAATTAGTTATCTGTAACTTTTAAAGCTTATTATTAACACTTAAACACTTTCTAATATTAATATTTCCTAAGATTAACTTATTACAAAGCGACAAATGTCAGGCCAGTCCTGGGTATCTAATCGGGAGGTTGGAGGTTTTGAAGAACATGGAACCACCGCTAAATTGTTGTTTTTCTCAGATCTGACCCAGAGTGGTAGCACCTGTTATGGTCCCAGCTATGAGCAAATAGTAAACCCCCATAAACAAAAACAAAACACTATGAAACTATAAAAATACATTTTTATAGTAAAATGACCAACAATATATTTTCTCTGTATTTGAAGGTTTGCAGCTGAGTTCAAAATATATTTAGTTGAAGCCATAAAATTATGTTCAAAATATTTAGATTTCAGCATTAAATAATCCATACATGTTGATATGCCTCTAAACAATTCAACCAACATGAAAGAAGTCTTTCATGATATTAATCCATATAATATCCTACAATTTCTTAAAGAAATCAAACTGTATTCCAAAATACAACTTCAACATATATATTACCACCTCTAGTAATTATGTATACACAAACGTGTATATACAAAAAAGCTGAGTATCATCTACCAAGTATTCACTTGTGAAAGCAGAATAACATCATATTTTATTGCTTCGAAGCTCCCAAGAAAAGTAAATTTTGGCATTTAAGTGGCCCATAAGGAGTCGATATACCATTAAACAAAAAACAAACCTATCTTGAGCAACTAATAAGACTTCAATTTTCTATGTATTAATGGTCAGAGATAACTTTAAAATTTTTCCTTACTTTACAATACTTTAATAAAACACTGGCCAACTGCAAGAATAGAAAGGTCAAGAATTAAAAAGAATATTTACAGGATAGATTTTCAGACAAGGATAGTAAGTATGATTTGGGCATTGGTTTGTGATAAAAATCCCATCATGTCCCAAAATCTATATAAATTCTCAATCTTTTCTCTAGTAAATATTTAAATTTATTGTAGGAGTGCAGATGATATGAGACCTTGTTTTTGCTTTTGTTGTTTTTATCTGGGATTATATCATCTGTCTATAACATATTAAATTAATATTCATGTGCAATATTACATGAAAACATGAAATAAAATATGAGCAGTTTTGATGTGAATGCAACAATAATTGATTCATATTATACACATAATTGTTTCATATTATTCACAGAAATATATATATATTTGTATTTATTAATGCAAAGAAAGAAATGGTTTTAGGCTCATCTGTATGTAAGGACATTTTCTTGTGAGCTCATTTAAGAAAACACATTTTAATGGTCCAACAGTTGGTGATCAGAGAAGAGAGAGAGAGAGAGACTTTGTATATTTGCACTTCCCTTTCTTTTACTATAACCTAACAAAGCAGGGGACACAACTCCTGCTTCTTATTTATGAATCCTTAAAAATTCATTAACATTTTTCCCAGCAGTTAAAGTCCTTCTAAAAGAACTTTATAAGGCCACAATTTGAAAATAGAAATATTAAAGCTACATTTTCACAAAGAAATTTTGGAAGTTTCCATCTATAATTTTACTCTTTATGCGTTGTCTTTTTAAGACATGCACAATCATAGCTCTCCACAGCTTCCTCTCTCTCATAACTCCGTTTATATCCTTACTATGCATCACAGTCCCTATCCTGTTATCCATTTACAAAAGCTCATTAGGTAAGTTATTTGATGTTTCCATCTGTCTCTTGTCTTCAGTATGTCCTGTAAGTGTTAAATTCTCCAAGCCCTCTTTCCTCTTTATGTTCAGAAATTTTAACTCCCTCTTTTTTTTTATCCTAAACACAAGTGTCATTTTTGTTTATATTTTCCTTAAAACTTCTTGCTCTTCACATACTCCATCCATTCTCAGCATCCATCAGCAGAACCACATCTCTTCATCTGCAAGGAAATTTTCTGGCATTCACTGCCATATAGGACGACTGATACATACTAGTTGAACAAGCCTTTCTTTGTTTCTAACAAAATTTTCCTGTTTCTTAATACTTTGAGTTTTTAGGAGGCATCTTTTGCTATTATGACTAACCTTCAATTGCAAATCCATCTTTTGTTAAAACACTTTCCAGATTGTTACATTTTCTGTACATACTTGATTTTGGCATTCCCAATTTATACACTTGCATATTGGGTTGTCCCTTTTGTTAACAACCATGCATTCTGCCTTTTGCTAACGACCAAACATTTTGCCTTTTGCTAACGACCAAACATTTCGCCTTCTTACAATTGATGGTTAGTCCTTTCTCTATAATTTTATTCTTTCTACAGAGTCTGCCAAAAAATATATACATACTTCAAGAAAGGAAAAACTTTTATAGCTATTGTAATACCAAATGTATTCAGACATCACAAGATTAATACAAGTTAGCTTTGGATTATAATCACAGATGATGCTCAAAATGGTGGCCTTTAACTTCCAGACATTAGTACAGTAAACTACTACTTGGGCAACATTGGTCAAAGTGTACAGTGTGATTGTTGCACATGCATTTTGAATTTCTTGTCTAAGGGCTGCTAATGTAATGCCATCTGTCGAGAAAATATTGTACTACAATTAACAGTGTTATCACAATTTTATAAAACTACAAAACAAGTTTTTCCTTTCCTGAAGTGTGTATGCATTTTTTTGGTAAACTTTGTATTTAAATCATTGGAATTTATAGTTTCATCATCATTAAATACACAATACTTGTTAACAAACATTCAGTCTGTAAAGTATTGAAATGATGCTACCACCTATTTTTAATCTGAAAGACATGTACCATATCTTCTGACTTACAAGACACTGTGGTTTGGAAGACACACCTTAATATTGGAAAGAAAAAAAGTCATTCTCATACAACAATGCATTCACCATGCATCCCTCACATACTGGCGCCATATATTGTTTACATTAATCACTTGTCTGATTTTGTTTGTATGGCAATGATATACTAGTCAAGAGCAGAAAGGCTCCCACCATTGCTAGTAAACAGAGCATTTGGCTCAGCTCCAGGAAGGTTTATAGTCTTGGAAATACTTGTAACAGCTAAGTACTTAGGTTACATCATATAAAAGGCGGAATTAGATACTTAACATTATAGTGTAATGACTCAACATACAAATCTACATCCCTATCAGTCAAGCCAATTGGGTGAAAGTCCAAACTTACTTGAGCCTGGGTGTTGACTTATATTCATCTTGGAAGATGTACACATTTTTCAGAGTATTTTTTAGAAAATTTTAAATAGTTCAAAAGTTGTAGTTAGTGACATCTAAAATACATTATCAGGTTGTACTATTATCTGATGATAAAAATTAATCTATTTTTAGAAAAGAGCATTTGTTGCCAAGTTTAGCAATAAATGAATCTGTGTTTGATATTGGATATTGATCACTTTTCCTAATACAATTTTTGCTTGTTTACTTCTCATTCTCAATGCTGAAGGTTGGGAACTATAGACCTTTTCACCAATGCTCTCCAGTCTCCTCTTCTTTGCCATGCCCGTCCACTCAGCATTCTCCAATCTATTACCTCATCAGTCCAGCATTACCTTGCTTCCTTCCAAGATGTGGATGCAGTGGTTTTAGGCCTTGATGACAGATCAAAGTATTGCAGTTTTTGCTTCCTTATGGTCAGAAACAACTGCCTCTCAATTTCCAGGACCAACTCATTTGTTTTGTAGTCCATGCAGCTGATGCACAGTATCCGCCTTTAGCACAAAGAACATAAATTTTTTTTTTAACTGACATGTTTCAAATATCCAGGTTTCACAGTCATACAATGCCACTGGCCACACTTACATCTTCAGGAGCTTTAACTTGATGCTTCACTGAAGAATGGAGATCTATTCATAGGGTGTTAAGAGAACTTGCTGCCCGTCCCCCCACCATATAACTGAGCACTAATCTTATGACTACCACTCACTGTTTGATCTATGATGGTTCACAAGGAATTTGATTTCTCTTTCTGAATTATTAATACAATTCAGAGCACTGTTACCACCAAACTATTAGTAATTACAAGATCTTTTCCATTCATTTTTAGGACCAATCCATTCAGAATTCAATAAGTTGAGAGCATCTCTTCCTTTTACATATTTTGATAATTTTGATAATTTTTTATAAATTTTTGAATTTCTTTTCAAATTTATTTCTTCATAAAACAGTAAATAATAAGTCTTTATAAAAGGTAGATAACAAATAACACCTTGTACTTGATCCACATATTTCGATAATCTTGTAAAATAAACATTGCTGGGGTGGGGGTTTAAAAGTAATACCTGTGTCAAAGTAATAACTGTCCGTTTGACACAGCTTTTTTCATTTTTTTATGTCCTCATCTAATTAAAGCTTTTTAAAACAAACATTGCTGAGGAGGGAAGCCAGTTAAAAATCATTACAGTTTCAAAGGAATAACTGTCTTTTTGACACCAGGTTTGGGGTGGGGCATGAAGGTTAAATGTTGCTGAAATTTCCATGTCCTCATCTAATAATTGCTTTTTAAAACAAACATTGCTGAGGATTGGTTTAGTTGTTTTGGTTTACGGCATATCAACCTCAATGGATTATTTAATGCTGACTAATTTTTTTATTGCTGCCTAATATTTTCTTTTAAAATAAACTATAGTTGATAATATCTTTTTTTCTAAAAAGATATTGCTGGTAATTTTTTTTTTTTTTTTTTTTATAAAATATTTCTGGTATGTATTAAAACCTATTTTTACACTTTCATAGTGTTTTGACCCCAGTTTGGGTGTCAATTATTTGCCCATAGCTGGGACCCTAACAGGTGCTACCATCGCCGGGTCAGGGTGGACTTGGGAATATCAGCAATTAAGAGGTGGTTCCACACTCTTCAAAACCTCCTGATCAGAGGCCTTGCTGTTGGATGTAGTTTATGGTCTTATGTAGGACAACATTGCTGAGGAGTGAAGGTAGTTAAAATAATAGCAATGTCAAGGAAAAAAAAAACATCCTTTTCATACTCCATTTTTTATGGGCATGAATGTCCAAGTTTGTCCATTACTGAATTGCAAATACTTCTAAGGTGAAATTGTGCCTCAAATAGTCTCCATAAATTCTGATACGTTAATTGTAATATTAAGCAGGAGTTGATTTCTACTCATCTTCAATTTGTAAAATCTATAAAATAAAATAAAAGCTGTTTGTCATATTTCATATGTCTGTGTTGTGTATGAGTATCTTCATCATCAACTTGAGAATTCTTCTTGGATACCCCTGACTCATTCCCTCCAACCATCTCTGTCAGACATCACTGTCAGCAGAGTCTCCCGATTGCATCCAGAGTCATTTACAACTTGGTCAATGTAAGTGTGATGAGGTTTGCCGTACAATGGGTTCCATATGCGGGTGTCACTCACTGACTTACTTCTCCAAGAGTCACCAGCTAACCAAAGCCTTCTCTCTTAGCGAAACTGAGGTAGGAGGAAGGTGTCCATACAGGCGTTTTTTATTGGGTGTTTCTTCCAGCTGATGTCCAATGCAACTCGTAATATCCTTGTGTATGTTTCGTTAAGAGATGCTTCTTGGTGTTTCATCAGTGTCCATGTTGAGCTGTAGAGCAAGACAGATTCTTCAATATCTGTCTATATTTCTGAGATGAAGTATTATGTACACTATTTACATTATTCGGACTGTTGCCCTCATCTTTGTTGCCATATTTATCACAACATTTCGGCCCTTCAGTATCTGTCTATATTTCTGAGATGAAGTATTATGTACACTATTTACATTATTCGGACTATTGTACTCATCTTTGTCACCATATTTATTACAATGTTTCGGCCATTGTATGCTCCGGCCTTCTTCAGGTGGTTGGAATGTCAAACTGAACTCTTTATTTCACTTACTGGAGGAGACTGTTCTAGTTCCACATGCCATGTCTAATCAGTTATCTGTTCAAGAACACATGGCACAGTGGATAAAGGCATTGTTTAGATCCAGTGACATGACCCAAAGAGCGTGAGTTCAATACCTGGTTAAGGCAGTGGAGAACTAGGAGAGGGGAATTAACAGGAGATAACTGATAACTGAATCCCACCTAACACTCAGTCTGGACAAACCGTACTCTTGGCTGAGCAATAAACTTAGAAAGTTGGTGACAAAAAAAAAAAAAAAGTTAAAAACATTAGATCATTAGAATTTATTGCACTTTTCAGAAATTATTCATAGATAAATAGAATTATTTTTTAATTTATTTTCTTAGTAATATTTTCCATTTGTCACTGAATATATGCATACACACATAATATGAATGAAATTGCAATGGATATGTGTCTCTTGATGATTAATTTTCCTTTTTATCTGACAACCCTTAGGTAATAGGAAAATAGTACAAATCAAAAGGTGTGGCCCTTTGAAGTCATTTTTATGACTCTGGTATTAAAACCAAATATATTTTCTAATAAATGTATTTTAAATGGACAAATAATTTAGATTTGAGATTCGATCATCTTGCTGTCAGCAAAGTAACAGGTACCGAACTAATAATATATGATAAATAATAATAATATAATTTAATATAAATAAATATTTGAATTTGAGTACCAGTAACAAATGAACTATGCATCTTTTTTATGACTTCCTCTAGATTGAAAACTGAATATATTTTCTCATAAATGTAGTATTTCAAATGAGCAAACAATAAAGGTTTGAGATTTGGTCTTCTTGATGTTGGCAAAATGGCAGGTACCAAATTAGTAATCATAAAAAGTTTATCAAGAAAATTCTATGATTGTGTATTCAAATGTAGTTATTCTCCAAATGCTAAAGAAATGGATTAGAGTATAAAAGAGCATACTTGTGCACTTGAGTATAAACGAGCATATTTGTGAGCGAGCATATTTGTTCTTGTGCATGTGGGTGGGCACAGGTGTGTCAGTATAGATGAGGATCACATTTTTTTCTTTTTTTTTAATGAAAACATCTTGCCTATTAATGATCATTATGTGTGCCAAAATTCACCAAAATGAATTGGGCATAGTCTGAATTTTGGATATTCCCATTGTGATGAGGGTAGTGTCTGCTTACAAATCTGATTGGATGAAAGCTGATTTGCAGTTTTTCCGCAATTGATATCATCACATCACTCGTTGCACAGTCACATGTTGGTGTTTGACAACCAAAACTTCTCGGAATCCCAGGTCAACATCACTGATGATGTGGCCATAGTCATCTTACAGATGGATTTCTAAACTAATGAAACTTTTTAAAGTTGATTTTAACTTTTTAAACTCTGTTGTTACATTTAAAACTCTTTTTAAGGGGCTCATCATTTTACAGTGGTGTTTATAACTGCTACAGGAATCTAATTCCCTTCCCCTATAAAGGACGATAACTCAAAATACATCAATTACTTCCCTTGTCTGTGAAGACAAGCTTGCCACTTCTGAATTAAACATCGTGACAAATTGACACACATAAAATTCATTGTCTAAATCCATGCAATCTTTGCTGTTCTCAGATGGTGGATCAAGATTGTTTATTTAGGTGTTAAAATACACTTGTCTTTTATTTTCATTTGTCTTCTTCAACCCAACAATAACTAATTATAGGTGCAATTAGTACATAAAGTTCAAATAATTGTGATAAAATTTAAAGCAGCAATTAACATTTTAACAATTAAGTTTTTGACATTTTTATGTAACAGTCTGTGAAAGTTGTTTTTTTTTTTGTTGTTTTTTTTTTATGAATGTATCTTTTCATAGTAAACAGACTTAGTATTAGATGTGTTTTCAGAAATGGACAGGTATCCAATATCAGGAAGTTTCATACATTTAGTTAATGTCATTACCCAGAGTTTACAGGAGAAAATGTAGTATTAGCATATTCAATTTGAGAAGATACAGTCTTGTTCCGATTCCCAATGACTCTTTCTGATCTTCAGCTGCTTTCATCTCTTCGAGGAAAAGTAGTTGCTTAGTGTTAATTTGTGTAGGTGAGCAAGCATTTTTTTTTTTTAGTTGCCTGACAACAACCTGATGCAAAGTCTCATATTTTCCCATTTTCAGAGAATGCAATCTCAAAGACGTTTTAAGCTTCACCACGCTAATTTATTTCTAGAATTGTTCCCCATGCCACTGCATTTTTTTTTTTTTTTTATAGGGTGTAAGAAAATGAACACCTTGCATAGTTATCATCTTCGACCACTTCACCATTAATATCCACTCAAGAATAGCTTTCAAAATCATCATTGGAGTCTTAATCAGAGAAAAACTCCTGAATAAAGGCTTTGTTGGATATTGGTATGGTCATTTTTGTTTACAAATTGGGTTTAATTGATGTTACATTTCGTGTAGTATAGAATTCAAAATGGCATTAGAAAAAGGAAGTTTCATCTTCTTCCAAAACAGTAATAGGCAATTTCCAGTTTAAAATACTGGAAATAACAGTTGACAAGTGTTTATAGCAACTGTCTCAAGGCAACAGAATACGCTTGGAGCAGTAAAGGGAGGGAATTCTACGGCGACTATTTTCGCCTCCAGTGTGTTAAAGGTTAATCTACTCAAGCTGACAATGTAGTTGAAAATTCTTTCTTTACATCTTGTGAGTTGTTTTATACTATATGTGACAGTTTTGTCTCATATGTAAATTTCTAATCTTATTTTACGTTTTACTTTTCAGTGGCTCTTTCATGGAGCCTGTTGGAGATATGTTAATCTTC